TGTGTGTGTGTGTGTGTGTGTGTGTGTGTGTGTGTGTGTGTGTGTGTGTGTGTGTGTGTGTGCGGGAGAGATATATTTAGAGAATGTGTGGGTGTGGGCGTGTGGGCGTGTATGCGCGTGTGAGTGTATGTGTATGTGAGAAAAGGGAGAGAGTGTGGGTGTATGTGTGTGTAATGGTGTGGGCATGTGTGGTTTTGGCATTTAAAAGTCCCCAGCTCTATTCTACATCATTCGCGCCGGTACTGCTGCATAGCCCCAAGTCTGAAGACTTGGCAACTTCACGCCTGCACCTGACTCTTGCGCTATGATACGCGTCGCCTATGGTACCCCTCGGAATTTCCCACCTTATGTTCTGGCTGCCCGTTTTGGATCCATCAGTTGCCTGATGATCGTAGTAATACGTGAAACTCAGAGTTGTAACAAAGCTTCCAATCTCTCTCTTGTGATATACTGGTTATAATGATATCAGCTTCAAAATTAAAAAGCAAAAGTACCCTTAACATTCAAACTAAACTGGTTAGAATAATAATATTAAACACAGCTCGCATCTTCCCTGAACCTGTTAGACAGGAGCAGAGTCGACGCATCTGTCAACAGTGTCAAGCCAAGTTAGTCTATCTCCTGCAGCTTGGAGAGCGCTCCCCACGGAGAGATCCGCTGCCTTCAGGTCGTGCCGAATCGTATCTATCCACCTCAATGGCGGACGGCCACGGTTTTTTTTATGTCATTTGTGTTCCGAGTGCAGTAATAAGCAAAAGCAATATAATTATCGTCTATTGTGATCAAATTCTCATTTAAAAACCACTCCACCCAAGCTTGTAACCAAGTGCGTGTGTAGTTTCGTGTTCTTTTGCTTTTTCTTGTCTATGTAACTTCACTGGTGGTTTCAGCATCAAAATCGTAGTTCTTCTTGCCGTTTCTGCTGAGTGACTCAGTCGTGATAGTTTACAGCAAACTTTACATTGTAGTCTCTGGTTTTCTCTGCCTTCTTTCCTTTTATGCGACCACGGAAATTTACCACCATTGCATAAACAAATAGTGCCCTCTCTTTAACAGTGCCCCATCTGTAATGGACATTGAAAAAGCAGTGCCCCAGGTGCACTAATCGCGTGAGTACGGTATTCAAAGTATTACGCTGACAGCAGTAGGAAAGCTATTTTACGAGACATTTGAGCATTCAGGCTTTCCCCAAATCGGCCGGCCGAAAAATTCGCCGAAAACGAAACTTATCGAAAAATCGCAAATCTTTTCGACGATTTTCGAGGGTTTCTTTGAGATTCGCCGAAAATTTACCAAATAGTGTGCGTTCACGAACGAATGATGTTGCTGCAAGCATGACTGCTCGAGCTCACTACGTCAGTACTTACAGTCCTAGTGTGTTCAGGTCGTGTGACTCGTGTCCTTTGACTTCCTCTCAAATAAATATTAACCATTACCAACATCGTTGCTAGTAAAATACTACGATACAAAGACAGTTGTGGTCAGTAAATCAGAGCAGAGTTGTATTTCGAAGATCTCACGAATTCTGAAACCAATACCAGGGTATGCGAACAATTCGTTCGGCCGATTTTCCAGTATATTCCAATTTTGCAGCCGATTTTCGAACAATCAGCTGATTATGCAGCCGAATCTGATGTATTTTTGACCCGAGCGAAAAACCGTATAGGCGAAAAAAGGACCGATTTGGGGAAAGACTATTGAACCAGGTACAGTGGGTTGGTCAAAGACCATGATTGAGATACGAGAGGTACCTGGTTTAAGTCCTGCCCGGGAGCGGTTTTTCCAGCCGTGCTACTACCCACAGTCAACTGGGGACTTGTGGCCAGGCACAAGGGGTACATGGATGGAGCTTTTTTTTTTTTTTTTTTTGTTTGTTTGTTTATTTAGAGTCGAAGAACAAACAGGCAAATTTGCCTAATTACATGATATCGACTAAAAAGAAGAATAAATTATAAAAGGCCAATGATGGTAATGACACTGAGTAGAGTGGGTAGTAAAGTATTACGTCATTGTAAAAGCCAGTTAGGCCAGTAAAGGAAATAAAAATAAAGCGGGCAGTGGCATTACTGAAAAGCAGCATGTGCTGGGAGGGATCGCATGAATCGGTGGTACTGTGGGATTTTCCTGATGTCGGGCTGGAGCCTGTTCCACAGTGATACACATTGGAATGAGGCAGAATGTGTGCCAGCGGATGTCTTAGTGACTGGAAATTTAAGTGCTCGATTTCCCTGACTACGTGTAGCACGGCCGGCATTAAGAGGACTGAACATATCGGTAAGCAATGTGCTGCATTTACCCTGAAGGCAGCGCCAAGTGTAGCCAAGAAGCTTGTGGCAGTACATAACTTCTAGCGAGTGCAATCGCAATTGGCAATACAGCGGCGCAGATGGGGATGCAAATGGAGCGTTGTAAACACAGCGGACTGCGCGCTTGAGTAGCCGCTCTAGGCGCTCGAGCTGATGTGAGGTGAGGCCAGCAGAGAAACAGTTGCTAGCATACAGGAAGTCAGGAAGGATCAGGGACTTCAGGTACGTGATGCGGCACGGGAGGGGCATGCAGCGCCTGTTTCTAAACAGGACAGCTATTTTACAGGCAGCTCGCTTGGCGATCTGGTTGACCATTGTGGTCCACTTGAGATCTTGGTCCATGTGGACACCAAGATACTTTGCGGATTCTACTTGTGTCAGTTGAACTCCAGAGCACATAACGCTGACACGAGGATTCACAGAACGATGGGCAGGGATGAACAAAATCTGGGTTTTACTCTCGTTTAGTACCAGGTTTCTGCTGGCAAGCCATCTGGCCAGGTGTGTAACTGCAGAAGACATATACTGCGTTCCAGCTGATGTCTGTCCCTGCTACTAATATAGAGCATGATGTCATCTGCGAACTGAACTGTCCGCACACCATACGGTTGCACTTCAGATGCCACACCACGGACATAGAGGACAAACAGCAGAGGACCAAGTACGGAACCCTGGGGCACACCACTGCTGGGCTGGAATACCTTGCTGTGCTGGTTCCCAATGACAACTCTTTGCTGCCGGTCACTTAAGTAGTCTGCCAGCCAATTCAGCGCACTTCCACCAACACCAATACCAATACCGAGCTAATGGAGATTCTCGGAACTTGTGCCAGTGCTTATGAGACTTATCCACTCAAGCCCACTATTAGGCGCTGCATGTGCCGCTAGGGTTTGCCGGGTGTTAGCGACCGTCGTGAGTTGCCTTCGGGAACGGACACGATAACTTGCTTTTTACTTACTTATTGAGCATGCTCCTATTGCCAGTGCAGTTGAGTACAGGTCTTTCCGAGTCTCTTTTGTTTGTGTTAGCGACGAATGAAACGTATTTCTACGTGTAGAATTCCTCAATGTGGATGGTGAAAACTGGCAGTAGGGACCTCATACTAGTCATATACACGCTATAAAGTCATGCACTTGTCAGATGATGTCATAGAATAGTGTAGTCCCTTTCCCCGCAGAATTTAGAGCGGAATTTAGAATTTTTGTCCGTATCATAGCAAAAAAAAAAAAAAAAGGTAGGCATGGTAACTTAGGATGGTCTATAATGACCAAGATTGATAAACTGAGAAAAATAGGGTACCAGGTTTAAATCCTGCTTGGAAGCAACAGTGCATTTACAGCCGTGTTGCGGCTCAATCTTAAAATGGAAACACGTGACCTGGCACAAGGGAAACATAGATGCACCGAATGAGATTTTTCGGTCTTTGACCCCTTGAGTGGTGGGTTTGATCTACTTACCTCCCACCGCTTTAGGAGCTGAATCTTCACCTCGATCCTTGACGTTGGTGGCTTTTATGCAGATGCGGAAAACGTGGGTTAGCCGAGTCTCCAATGTCGTCCAACGGGACAGCAACCAAACCAGCACATGCACATCACGTGACCACAGAGGATACTATCTCATTAGGTTTCCATAGTTGGAAAAATCTTCGGACAGCTGTTTCGCTTCCTCATCATCCGGGAGGAGTTGTACACGGGTAAGTGTGATAGAAAAAAATTAAAAAATATAATATTATCACTTAAAAAAAGAGAGGAAACACATGAGGACGAGTTATGCAGCAACTATCCACGACTGTAACAAGATGATAAACGGTCAGAAAGTGCATGAGGAGTACCTTAAGTTATTGGCGTCCGGTTTGTACAATTCGTTTTCGCAAAGCTCCCCCTTCCTTTATCTCTGATATTGCTGACCCACCCAAGTTGAGTGGTGTGTTGCTTTGCTGCTTCAAATTGTAGTCAGACCGCATTGTCATTTTATTAACCGGTCTCGTCATCGTCCTGTAACAGTCAGCATTCTTTGTTGCCGCGGGACTTAGCTTGTGCACATTTTCGCTGCGCTCACCTTTCCCTCTTCGGTCTTACGTAACCATGAACCTTCCAAGTTGGAAGGCTGTTGGTTTGCGCACTGGAGATGTGTTAGAGCTAGGTCTGGGGTCGCTGAATGTCTCAGTAGCCTGTCAGGTTTGTGCCATAATATCGCACTTTCTGACCGTTTATCATCTTGTTACAGTCGTGTATACTTAGTTGCTGCATAACTCGTCCTCATGTGTTTCCCCTCTTTTTTACATTTATTACTGGCTCAGTATCCGAGTTTATGTATTATCTTCGTTCGCATTAGACTCAGCTGGAGACCTAATTTTCAGCATCCACTGGGACGCCAACACCCTCACAGATCAAGGAGCAGATGCAACTTCTAATGCGGTGGGAGGCGAGCAGATAAGATCCATCACCAAAGTGGCCAAAGATCGAGAATCACATTCGCTGCATCTATACTTCCCTCGGTCCAGGCCACGAGTTCCCAACTAACTGTGGGTCGCAACACGGTTGGAAAAAATCCTTCCACTTCAAAGCAGGACTTGAACCTGGTACCCGGGCCTCTGCTTCTAACTCATGGTCCTAGACCATCCCACTATGCCTGCCTGCTATTTATGAGAATGAAGGGGCTAACTACAGGATGTGCACAACACAGGGCGTCAAATTGACTCAAGAAATCACCAATCATAGCAATTACTGCAAGTACAAATCAGTGAAAGCTACAATATGTGGTGCAGAGGCATCAATATAATCCATGTAGTGAGCATTGCAGAACGTATTCACAGCAAGAAGGTTGACAGTTGATATACATGGATGCACATGTACATCCGAACAAGTCAGTGTAAATACCGAACTTGCCAAACAATACCACTTTGTTAAATACTGCTGCAGGCAAGTAGAAAACGTGCTTGAAGTATAACACACTACTACAAACAATAGGCATCAAGCAGGGAGTAGTAAAATATCGGTATTTTATTACTCTCTGGTATCAGTTTTTGTTACCATACCGATTGCGGGAAAAATGATGGCTGTTTCCAATGGAAGTCACGAAGGCCGCTAATACACGGAATAGTCTAGTCAAACGACTTGAAACGACAAATTGATAAAAAATAAAATTAAAATAATGGAGAAACGTGTTGACAATACATCCACTGACGATAGTATGTCAGTTGATTCTAATAATTATAATGCTAGCAAAGCACTACTGTGACGACATTGTACAATTTTCTATTCAAACATTGTAACTTCTAGTAAGGATCTGCATGGAGTGCAAGACGATCTGCAAAAGATACTTGGAAGAGAAGAGGAAATGGAAGCTAGCATGTCTAGAAATGTATGGTATCATGCACTGGCATTGTGGGCAGGTACAGCAAGACAACACCGCAGTCCTACCTGCCCATTGCTCAAATACATACAAAGTCATGTATATGTGACGATTAAAGCTCTGGATCCGCCAGAGAAAGATAGCTGCCATGTTGCTACATCTGGCAGGAAATGACCCGCAGTGTGTGCATAGTCACTTTACACTTAGGAAAGGTATCATGATGTCTTTGTATTGGCCTTCTTCAATAGCTCTACAACCGCATCACGTTTCCAGAATCTCGCTCTGTCCAGCGGTGTGACGCCATCCTAAATACAAGACAGTTGCAATATACACGTAACACGTCTATCAGTATATACATCATGTCATACAGGTACTTGTGCAGTTGTGCTTGGTTTAAACCCCACCCAAAAGTGCACATTTGGTGCCATGAACTCGCACAGCCCTAGACCCCCAGGATGTGATAAAAATGCAGCTGGACATACACATGTGCAAGTGCAGTGATGTACTTAAAGTCCATTCATCGGAAACTGGCCCGTTGGCTTTTGAAAGTCGGATTTGGGCCGAATTGAGGATCAAAACTCACTTTAAATCTCAAAAATCTGGGTTTTGGAACTGCTTCTTCATACATTTTGCCATGGCATACCCGTCCTAATTTTGTAAAACCTGGCTGAATTTCTATTTCCCTGTTCTTGGACTTTTCTGGCCTCAAATGTGGCAAGGAGTAATTGCACGGGTCACACAATGCAGGATGTACTGTTGTTTTCACGATATCTAAAACTATGTGAGAGAGACCCCAAAAAGTTAGGGTGCCAGTTTCCAATGAATGGACTGTAGAACTGGTCCAGGGTGCCTGCTTTGCACTTTAGGCTGGATTTCAATATTCACAACTGTACTTGGTCACTGCCTTAATCTGATCTCTCCCTGGTGATTCAGGCGGAGTTTTGGAGTTTGTGCTTTTGTCACTTTCAAAATGGATGTTTTTGCCTTTTATCCTGCATGTGTAATTTTATAACGTACTCGTAATGCAGGTTCAGTGAAACCCAGCCTATTCACGCGGCTGCACATTCGTAGTTCATACCTCATACGGTGTTACTGTTATTATTGAAACAAGAAATAAAAGGAGGAGGAAGGCATGCAGAAGTCTTAGCGTCCGTGCTTCTGTTCTTTGCTCGCGAAACCAGTTTGTGCAGCTAGTGCACCTCAACCCGACGTGAGGGTTCATGTATGGAAATCCTGTATTCACATCTGGAATGATCGAGGTCCTGTATGCACAGCCTACTATTCACGAGGATGGAGCCTGCGCTGCACTAGCCTGTAGCAATGTAAGATACAATATACATGTAGCTCGAAATACTTTTCCTTTTCCAGCTCATGTGCCTGAAGTTCACCTGTATAGGAATCCCGAAGTTGTTCTGAGTTTTTCTACTTCGACATGCTTGCCCCTCATACGTGCAATGGATGGAACATAATTATTGGTCCGTCTGGACCTGCTCAGGTGAAAGATTCGGGCACGATGGCGTTCCTCAAAAATGTACCAAGCAATGGGAGCGTGACTGTTTTTTATAAAAATAGACACAACACCCTGGGGCAAAGACCTGCACACATTGATGGGGTGAGGAGGCCGTAAATGAAAATTTTCCAGTGATGACAGGAATCCACTCGGCTAAAGGTCAGGGAACACATGATTGTTTGTACGTTAATTGTACAGTGCAGGCACAGAACATGATCATCCTCGTTCACGACACTCAATGTCACTGTGCTTTACCTCATTCTTGATGTTGCAGTCCGCCCCTGCAGCGAGCAGCGCTTGACACACATCGAGTGTACCTATACTGGCGGCATTGTGCAATGGAGTGTCGCCACGCTGGATGCACATGCAAGAAACAACAGTAGAGGAAAAGGTTCTCAAAGGGTTTAATTTTAGAACACAGTCACACCTGTAGATCAAAGCAAAACAATTCATAGTGGAATTCAACAGTTGGTGGATACAGTACAACTTGTCTGGTATTTACATTGCATGATTGCAATTAGTGTACAGACATACATGTACACTTATACCTCGGTTATCCAGACCCCAAAGTTACGGGCATTTCAGGCTACCGGGCACCCTTTGGGCGAGTTTAAGTGGAAATGTTACTACTTTTTTGGCATTTTTTCTGGAAATAGTGACGACATATGGCATTATTTATGGCCATTTCCCCTCAAAATGCATGTGATTCGGGGTAACTGACATTTCGAAGTTACGGGCAGTGCCCGGATAAACAAGTTATGAGTGTATTTCATATTGTCGTATCATTGGGTCGTTGTACAAATTGGATCAACGCCCATGATGCGGTACGAATGCGGCTAGACGTACACATATGCAAGTGCAGTGATGTGATCGGAACTGGTCCCTGGTACCAGTTTTGAGCTTTAAGAGAGCATGTCTGAGAATACCAAAGTATGTGTGCAAGTGGATCTCTCCGATTTCGCTCAAAATTTGCAGGTAGGTGGCCTTTGGGGTGTGGATCGACTGTGCAAAGCCCTTGAAAAAGTTTCTGAAGGGAACCTTGAAATTTGCATACCCCTCAAAAATCGCCGAAATATCACATTATTTATGGGTCTAGAAACGAGTCACGCCACAGCGTATACGAACAAGCTATGAACAAAACTCCATCAAGCCAACATTGCCTCACCTTAGAAGAGTTCCTGGAGCAGTACCGCTTAGCCACGCCAGCATCCCAGAAGACGAGGTCCATCACCCCCTGACGCCACAAATGATCGTCTTGAAAATAGCCAATTTACAAGCGCTGGCAAAACAGCCAGCTACGTCCTCAATTGGCCAGAACTATACACCGGCAGATAGTAGAACACCTCTTCTAGCGCTGAGGACATGTCTCCCATCTTCCTTTTGGGGTTTTATTGAAATAAACTTTTTTGAATTTTTCCACTCGACCATGCTGAAATACGGCCAAAGTCATACCTGCGCAGGAAAGCTCGCCCCTCCGCGACGTCTCCTCAGCAATTTCTACTCCAACACTACTCCCAAGGCCGCAGAACAAAGTATAGTGTTGACTCTGACAAGGAAAAGCAGCGGTGATCACTTGTCACTCCAAACGACAAGCTTCTCCTTGCGCCACCAATAATTTTTTGTGCGACTGTTGATGCAAAAGTGACTGAAGGCCTGAGCGCAGTTTTTGAATTTTATTGCAAGATGCACGGTGAGATCGCGTGCTCTGTGACGTAGGATGACGCTTCCTGCATCACGATACGCGGCCAACGATCGTGAAAGTGCCCGGAACGCTACTCGGAACAGACAATAGGGAGGTTCTGCTCTACGTTTTGGGAACGCGACGCAAAGAATCACGCGAACTTTCTTCGCGTTCCCGTAACGTAAAGAAATGCTGTTCTGCTCTACGTTTCACCTAGAGAAGTCACGTGGAATGTGTACTGGGAATTTCCCCTTCCATATTTGGCAGTTTTCTGCATGCAGTTGATCGATACCCAGCAAATCCGTACGCATTTTCTCTGCGTGTGCCACAACGTAGAGAACCCCATCTCCGCGTAGAAATCTGGAGCCAAAACACGCGAAGCCGTAGACTCTAACCCAGACACCTGCTCTCTACGTGATTTCTCTACGTTTCACGTATAGCAGAACCTCCCTAATGATGCCAGGTAAGATGAGCTTCATTTCCTGCTTGAACTGCTGAGTACCCCAACAAACTGTCCTAGGAGTGTTGCAATGGCAGCAAGCCGTTGAAATATGCCCCGTACAGCATGGAGAGTTATTCGTCTTTCACACTTACCTCCTGCAATCCCGAACATAGTCCAACAGTAAAAGTCCCTTGTTTTCATGTCGATGCTCGACAAAAGCGGCTAGCTCGGTCCCTGTGTTGACTGGCACGCGAGTAGCACTGACTGCACGCACTTGTCGCGTGAACTGCATGTGAGATTTCTTACGTCATAAAGAATGTGATTTCATCATCATTTCACTGGTCTTCGACCTATATGGTCAGGGAAAGTCCCGGTTCGTAGGCCTACAACAATCCCAGCGTGTTCTTGAGCGCAGTAACCATGGTAACAACAGTGGGATGACTTCCAGACCAACGGGCGTTCAAGGCGAGTAACAAGCCCACTTGACGAAGGTGACTCTGAAATCTCGTGAGCCGTACCGTGGGCCACGCGCGCGACTTGGCATTCTTGCGTCACAAGGCACGTGATTTCACCGTGCATCTTGCAATAAAATTCAAAAACTGCGCTCAGGCCTTCAGTCACTTTTGCATCAACAGTCGCACAAAAAATTATTGGTGGCGCAAGGAGAAGCTTGTCGTTTGGAGTGACAAGTGATCACCGCTGCTTTTCCTTGTCAGAGTCAAAACTACACTTTGTTCTGCGGCCTTGGGAGTAGTGTTGGAGTAGAAATTGCTGAGGAGACGTCGCGACGGGGCGAGCTTTCCTGCGCAGGTATGACTTTGGCCGTATTTCAGCATGGTCGAGTGGAAAAATTCAAAAATGTTTATTTCAAGAAAACCCCAAAAGGAAGATGGGGGACATGTCCTCAGCGCTAGAAGAGGTGTTCTACTATCTGCCGGTGTATAGTTCTGGCCAATTGAGGACGTAGCTGGCTGTTTTGCCAGCGCTTGTAAATTGGCTATTTTCAAGACGATCATTTGTGGCGTCAGGGGGTGATGGACCTCGTCTTCTGGGATGCTGGCGTGGCTAAGCGGTACTGCTCCAGGAACTCTTCTAAGGTGAGGCAATGCTGGCTTGATGGAGTTTTGTTCATAGCTTGTTCGTATACGCTGTGGCGTGACTCGTTTCTAGACCCATAAATAATGTGATATTTCGGCCATTTTTGAGGGGTATGCAAATTTCAAGGTTCCCTTCAGAAACTTTTTCAAGGGCTTTGCACAGTCGACCCACACCCCAAAGGCAACCTACCTGCAAATTTTGAGCGAAAGCGGAGAGATCCACTTGCACGCATACTTTGGTATTCTCAGACATGCTCTCTTAAGTCGCATTTCGGTGAAGAGAATTGTACGTCGCTGCCTTAATCTGATCCCACCCGGGTGATTCAGCGGCAATTTTAGAGTTTGTGCATCTGACATTTTTAAAATAGATTGTTTTGCCTTTATCCTCCATGTATATTTTGATATCGTACTCCTTATGCAGGTTCAGTGAAACCCAGCCTATTCACGCGGCTGCACATTAGTAGTACATACCTCATACAGTGTTACTGTCTTATGATCGGGAAAAAAGCTGCCGTCAACTGAATCCGAGGGCCAAACCAAGCGGTGTTAAGCATGCAGTCTGCAAATTTAAGGGCACTCACGTCGTGTCCGACATGTTCATATAAAGTGGCGCAAGAAATAAAGGAGGAGGAAGGCATGCAGAAGTCTTAGCTTCCATGCTTCTGTTCTTGCTCGCAAAACCAGTTTGTGCAGCTAGTGCACCTAAACCCTACGTGAGAGTTCTTGTATGGAAATCCTGTATTCACATCTGGAATGCTCGATGTTCTGTATGCACAGCCTACTATTCACGAGGATGGAGCCTGCGCTGCCCTAGCCTGCAGCAATGTAAGTGTTAGGTACCTCCACCCGTACAGTATACCCTTTTACCCTAGCTGGCCTGCATGCACCCGTACTACGTCATTCTCACCTTTCGTTCCGTTGGCCTGGGTAGCTACTTGCGCACGCATGTTTGCCATAGCTACCCAGGCCCTTTATATTGCGTTGCTGCTCTCTCAGCTGTCTCTTCAAATAATCGCTCTCTTCAGTCGAGCTCTCTCACATAATGTAGTTGTTGCATTGCGTTGCGTCTAACATAATAAATGTTTCCCCCCACTCGTTCCCGTCGTCCGTTGCGTTGCGTTTGGAAAGATTGAGGTACCAGAATGACCAACATAAGATACAATATACATGTAGTTCGAAAAACATTTCTGTTTCCAGTTGATGCGCCTGAACTTCACCTGTATATGGTATTACTTATGATTTCCAGAAAAGTCACGTCAACTGAATCATGCACCCTGCCCATGCACCCTGTCAGCATGTCGGAGATTCATAACGTCTCCAATATGTTGATATAGAGCAGCGCAAGGAACAAAATGAGAAACAAAACTTGCAGAAGTCTTTAACTTCCCTGGTTTTGTGCTTTGCTCTCGAAACAAGTGTGTGCAACTTTTTGTTTTCGGTTTCCAGATCATGCACCCGAAGTTCTCCTTTCTACTCCTCCCGAATCATTCCAAGTTCTTGTACAGGTAGACTCCCTCTAATTCGAATACGGTATAGTTTCGAGGATTCCGTGTAATTCGAACTTTTTCATCATACCGATCTTCTGCAAGTCACTTCAAGTTAAATTCGAATGCATAATTCGAAGTACGAAAAGTGCACCCGCTGGATAATTCGAACTCTGTCTTCGTACAGAAGAGCAGTTTACAGTACAGTGACTATGTCCTTCGAGCGCTTATTTCGAAGTGAGATGGAGTTGCTCTACTCGTAATTCGAAGTTCATTTTTTTCTCTCTTTCTCTAGCAAAGAGTAACTCAGAAATTGATCCCTGGTCCGCTCCAGGATCGACAATAGCGTTGAAGAAACCCACCTTCTCTCGAAATTTGATCCAAGCCTGTGCAAGGCAAAGTGCAAAGATTTGATTGAAGACGACTTCTTCCAGGTGGTTGGCTCCCTTTGCGGATCTCAATGGCTTGTCATGCCGCGCCAGCTCATGAGAAAAGAGGTTTAGGATTGAACAACTGAAAGTCGTAAAAAATTGTCTATGCCTATACTCCACTTCCGTTCTTCAGAACGACGTGCTGCTCTCCGACAGACTTTCATGACGCAGAGAAGGCAGCGCTGTTCTTTTGCATTGAAATCGTTTTTTTTTTTTTTTTTTTTTTTTTTTTTACTAAAAAACACAGCCCTACTAATAATCAGGGAAGAGGACAACTGAAATGACGCTGGACAACAAGACAAAGGGGAGTAGGGGCGATGTGCCGATGTGGTTGGCGAGGCTCATCCGACCGGAGGTCTCGGAATCATAGCCTACGACCAGGCATCGTTAGGAATGCAGCTAGGGAGGGAGGGAGATCAAGTGAGAAAGAGAGAGAGAGAGAGAGAGAGAGAGAGAGAGAGAGAGAGAGAGAGAGAGAGAGAGAGAGAGAGAGAGAGAGAGAGAGAGAGAGAGAGAGAGAGAGAGAGAGAGAGAGAGAGAGAGAGAGAGAAGAGGGAGAGAGAGAGGGGGGGAGAGGGAGAGAGAGAGAGAGAGAGAGAGAGAGAGAGAGAGAGAGAGAGAGAGAGAGAGAGAGAGAGAGAGAGAGAGAGAGAGAGAGAGAGAGAGAGAGAGAGAGAGAGAGAGAGAGAGAGAGAGAGAGAGAGAGAGAGAGAGAGAGGGAGAGAGAGAGGGAGAGAGAGAGAGAGAGAGAGAGAGAGAGAGAGAGAGAGAGAGAGAGAGAGAGAGAGAGAGAGAGAGAGAGAGAGAGAGAGAGAGAGAGAGAGAGAGAGAGAGAGAGAGAGAGAGAGAGAGAGAGAGAGAGAGAGAGAGAGAGAGAGAGAGAGAGAGAGAGAGAGAGAGAGAGAGAGAGAGAGAGAGAGAGAGAGAGAGAGAAATAAATAAATAAAATAAAACAAGAAAGAGATGAGAAGAGAAATAAGACAAGAAAGAGATGAGAAGAGAAATAAAATAAAACAAGAAAGAGATGAGAAGAGAAATAAATATAAAACAAGAAAGAGATGATGGACGAGGGTAGTTGCTCATTGACGGGTGGCATAGCCTCACAGGGAGTCCGTAGCCCAAAGCCAATTCTTTTGACGCAAGTGGCGATGGACCTTCGTCTTGAAGGATTGGAGAGACTTCAACTGGGGCATCGGATCCGGAAACATGTCTTGCGGAAGCCTGTTCCATTCATCCACTACACCATATGGGAACGAACGCTGGAGAAAGTTGGGGGCCGTAGGGAGGAGCACTGCTTGTAGCTGATGCTGGTGGCGGACACGGAGCTGCGACCTTGTCCGCGGGACGAGGCTAGCTTCCTGGCGAGGCGGCACGAGCGCAGAGAGATCTGGATGGTCTTGAAGGCACATTAGCTTGTACATGTACGTGAGAGCGTACACTTGGCGGCGGGCAGCTAGGCTCTGCAGCAAGGCGTCAGGACCAATGATAGCAAGGTCCTTCCGCTGTACTCGGTCGAGACTTTGCAGGTGAGAGTTGGCTGTGCCCATCCATGTCAATGGTGCGTATTCGAGTACAGGGTGTACGAAGCCTCTGTACGTTGTCAAGCGTCCTTCACGACCAAGGAAACTTGATGCTCGACGCAGAAATCCTAGTCGGGCTACGGCACGAAGAGAAACATTGCGGAGGTGGCGTCTGAAGGTGAGTTTGCTGTCGAAGGTCACTCCCAGAAGCTTCAGCTCGTCCCCACAGGGAATATCATGGGCTCCGAGCGTTAGGTCTGGGAGTGGCCAGGGGTTGCGGTGGTGGCCAATATGCAGCAGCTGCGACTTTGTCGGCTCAAAGCGAATTCGCCATTGTTCTCCCCAGCTACTCAATCGATCCAGGCTAGATTGCATGTCTGCAATACTGCCAGCAGAGTCATGTCTGGATCGTATGATGGTGTACAGCGTGGTGTCATCTGCGTACACACCCATTCGTGTTGATGGGGAAAGACAGGTCTCAGCATCGTTGACATACATCAAGAATAAGGTGGGTCCCAGGATGCTGCCTTGGGGTACGCCAGCTTTAATCTGGAATTGAGCAGATTCCTGTCCATTGACGATTGCGCTTAGTGTGCGATTCCGCAAATAGTCCCGTAGCCACTGCAGCAGGCTACCGCCAATACCGAGAGTGGCCGCTTTGTGTAGGACGCCGGGGTGCGACACGCGGTCAAACGCACCAGCAATGTCGACAGCCAGGACGTGGGCACAGCCACCAGAACCAGCTGCCAGCGACCAATCATGCCCAAGCACTGCTAGTAGGTCCGCTGTTCCAAGGCCACTGCGAAATCCGTACTGCTTGGTTGACAAGAGATGATGTTTTTCAAGGTGATTCACAATTTGACAGTTCACAATACGCTCCATCACTTTGGAGATGATGGGGAGGAGGGAGACTGGGCGGTAATTCTTAGGGTTGGATAGGCTGCCCTTCTTGTAGACTGGCACAACTCGAGCACTCTTCCAGGCCTCTGGCTGGACACCCTTACGGAAGCACAGGGCGAAGAGAGACGTGAGAGGCGATGCAAGTTCATGGGAGCACTCTTTGAGCACTCGGGCAGGGATGTTGTCCGGACCGGACGCCTTGCCAACGTCGAGCTGGTTCAGGAGGCGTTTCACTGTTTGCAGGCGGAAGTGGATTCGGCTAAGTGGGGTGACCCCGGGTTGGCGAACATGAGGGAGATCCCCCGGGCCCAAGTCATCATCTCCAAGGCTACATTTATTGGCGAAGTAGCGACCAAGGCAGTTCGCTTTGGCAGCATTCATACGGAGTTGGTGACCAGCGTCATCTACCAAGCATGGTATAGACGAGCCATGACTGGCGCCAGCAGCAGATTTGAGCACCGACCACCATTGCTTGTCTTTCAGTCCTCCGCGTGACAGTTTCCGACGAACTCTCAGTTCCCAGGATGTGCGAGCTCGCACATTCGCGAGGATAGCATCTTCTACTGAGCGCATGAAGCAAGCCTTGTGGGCTTCGCTGAAAATATTGTGTCTCCAGGCCTTCCATGCCTTGTCTTTAGTGTTCAATGCTGTGGTGCACTCAGGAGTCCACCATTTGGGGTCTGCTGGGCAAGTAACAAGCTGCTTGACGGGGATAAATTTCTGCATGCCACTGGAGATGACGTCACTTAGCTTCCTGCAGGACTCTTCAGGGTCGTCAGTCACAATGGTGGACCAGTCAGTAGTGCGATAGAAGGCCCGCAGGCGCCCCCAGTCTGCCTGATTGTAGCGCCAGACAGTCCTGGAGGTAGCTTGCTCAGCATCAGGGGTGAGGTAAAAGTCGGCAAGAACAACCCCATGGTCAGGGCGACCAAGTGGCGCTTTGACAGTGGTGTCGATAGGAACGGGCATGTTGGATAGGATGAGGTCCAGGGTGTTCAGACCCCTAGTCGGCTGCAAGACATGCTGGTGGAGTTGATGCTCAGCACACAATTCTTCTAAGGCCTCTCCTGCTACAGTTGTTTTGCTGCTGCAGAGCCAAGTCTCGTGATGGACATTAAAATCCCCAGCTAGCACTATGTGAGTGCCGTGAGTGCGGGCCACGTCTAGTGCAGGTCCAAGATACTCAATCAGACAGGTGTCGTTGTCCGCACAGGATCCAGGCCGATACAAGGCACCGATAACAACAGATTGTTGCGTGGAAAGACTCACGGCGAGCCAGAGGACTTCGTGGTCATCAGTGGGAATCTGGTCGAGGTGCACTACTGGGAGGCCGGACTTCACCCATACAGCAATGCCGCCACCAAATGCATCCCGGTCACGTCGGATGGGAGGCGAGTATCCTGGAAATATTGTCTCAGAGGCTACGGTCTGGGCCGAGAACTTCGTTTCTGTGATAACCGCTATGTCGACGTTATCGTTGAGCAGTGCATGCTGCAGCTCTCCCAGCTTGTTGGTGAGGCCAAATGCATTGGTCACCAGCCAGCGGAGCGGCGGAGCTCCACTGATCATTGCGGGGTGCCAGCAGATGCCGTGCTGTCGCTGTCAGCGCTGTCAGCACCATCCAGTGTAGGGTCACCTCTCGCAGCGCCGGCAGGGGGTTGTCGATTGGGCTTCGGGCGGTCTCAGTACTCCCATGGCCGGGCGTATAGAGGCCTTGGCCAGAAGTCCGGAGTTGTCACGAGGCTCAGGTCTGTGGCATCTATACAAATCCTAGCTGACACCTTTCCCGTCTGCGTTGTGTGGATGCTGCTGTTGTGAACACTGGCCGTTGATCCCACTGCCTCAGCGCGCCGCTTCACGAAAGTTTTGATGCTCTCTTCAGAGCAGTTTGTACCTAGGTTGCCCACAAAGATTACTGTTTTCTTGGCCCTGGGGGGTTCCTGTGCAACTTATTGCCAGCTGTCGTCAGCAATGATGTCCAGGGTCTGGGGCTCGTTGTCGTCGTCCTCCAGCTCCAAGTTGCGCTGGCCAGCATGCTGCACGTCGCCCTCATCAGTCGTGGCCTGCGTGGCATCCTGGGACTGGTCCCGCGTGGCATCCTGGGCCTGGCCCTTGCGCGTACGGGTACGCCGTCAACTCTGCGGAGTACGAGTTCTCTGGGGTTCGTCAGCTGTGGCAGGCCGAGGAGAAGCAATGGCGGACTCCCTGAGGGCGACAACCTCCTCGTTCAGCCCTGCAATTTGCCTCGATAAGTCGTCAATTCTGTTATTCAGTCGTTCTTCGCGGTCTGCGGACTCCGTTACCAATGCTGCTAACGTCTTCATCACATCTACTACCGACGACTCGATCCCGGGGAGGGAGCACAACAGCTTTACCTCGGAATCCGCCAGTCCACGAACGGCAGATTTAGTTGGAGGCATGGCGGAGGTGACCCAACGCTATCAGATGCCTACCTAGTTTTCTACTACTACTACAAACTAATACCTACAGTTTTTTTATGGTCCGTATGGAACACACTACAGATTGACAGTAGATCTACTGTCGGCCGTCGAAGATTGAATAGCGTTTCAGGACAACTGCAGCGATTAAAAACTGCTTCACTAGAACTTAGTAGAAGATGAAAATAATGTCCAATGACTTCATGTCGATCCAGTGTTTTGGGGAAATGAACTGATTTCGTTGTTCATGACCACCTATGGCACTTGTGCCAGTGGTAGTGATACTTATCCACTCACCCCCACTGTAAGGCGCTGCATCTGCCGCTAGGGTTCACCGGGTGTTAGCGGCAGTCGTGAGTACCCTTCTGGAACGGACACGATAATTTCCTTTATTTTTTTATTTTTTTATGTTCGTTGTTGCAAATAAAATATGCAAAAATAATCAGCACGCAATTTCGAGCATTTTGACATACACATCAGTACATTGGAATTCATTTTGTATAATTAGAAGTTCCGGATAATTCTAATATAGTGCCTGGCAATTTGAGGTTCGAATTAGACGGAGTCTACCTGTACTTCGACATACTAGCAGCTAATAAATGTATTGGATGGAACATAATATTGTACCGCCTGCACCTGCTCAGGTGAAAGATTCTGGCGTGATGGCGTCTCTCAAGAATATGCCAATCTTGCATATCTTGTACGCAACGGGAGTGAGGCCAATTAAAACAAAATAGACACAACACCCTGGGGCAAAGATCTGCCCACACTGCAGTGTTGAGGAGGCAGTAGATTGAAAATTGCTCCTTCATGCAAGGATTCCAATTTGGTGAGGGTTTGTGGAACACATGAGTTGTTTTTTCTCGATAGTACATTGTAAGCACAGACCATAATCATCATGGTTCATGACATCCTATTATACTGTCCCTGCAGCGAGCGCTGGCACACATCGATTTTTTCTGCCCAGGCAGCATGGTGCAACGGAGTGTTGCCATGCTGGAAGCAGTTACTTTTACAGTGTAATGCAGAACAGGATCAGTATGGTTCATGACACTCTAAATCCGGTTCTTTACCGTATTCTTGATGTTACAGTCCGCCCCTGCTGCGAGCAACGCTTGACACACCTCGAGTTTACCTCTCTGGGCGGCATAGTGCACCGGACTGTAGCCACGCTGGATGCACACGCAAGAAACAATAGTACAAGAAACAGTTCTCAATGAGTTTGAGACACAACTCGATTCTACCTCTCATGGCGGCATAGTGCAACGGAGTGTTGCCATGCTGGAAGCACATGCAAGAAACAACAGTACGGGAAAAAAGTTCTTGGGAAGTCTGAGTGTAGATCACAATCACAATTGTAAATCAAAGCAAAATAATGCAGAGTGGAATTCAACAATTGGTTGATATGGCACTACTTGTCTGGTACTGCCGTGGACATGGAAACCCGGTGGCACGTCTAGCGGCCCCTGGGCGCTGTCCATGCAGCCTTGATTTGGTATGCGTAGTCTACGGTACAACAGATGCAGTGCACTGGTCGCATCGGATCAACATGTGCACTGCATGCAACGCTCTGTACTCACTGAAAGCGCCGTTCCCGGTCGTTCCACTGGATTTCCATGTCCAAGACAGTATTTTCATTGCATGATTGCCATTAGTGTACAAGCATACATGTATGACATATTTTCTTATCAGTGTGTTGTTATACAAATTGGATCAACGCCCAGGATGTGGTAGGAATGTGGCTAGACATGCACATATGCAAGTGCAGTAATGTAATCGGAACTGGTCCAGGGTGACAGCTTTGCACTTTATTAGTTCGGATTTCAACACTCACAACCGTACTTGCTCACTGTTTGGGTTTGAGTGCATACTTTCAGAGCGTGGTGAAGGTAAGTTACGTAATGAAGGCAGAGAGCCGCGCACTGACCCATAACCACAGTTGCATACTCTTGTTTAGGCACTCTTCCTACTATCCACGAGGATGGAGTCTGTGCTGCCCTAGTCTGCAGCAATGTAAGATACAATATACATGTAGCTCGGAACACTTTTCTGTTTCCAGCTCATGCTCCAGAAGTTCTCGTGTATGCTCCTCCGGAAGTCGTTCCGAGTTTTTGTACTTCGACATACTAGCCCCTCATATGTGTAATGGATGGAACATAATAATTATTGTTCTGTCGGGACCTGCTGAGGTGAAAGATTCTGGCATGATGGCGTCTCTCTACACTGTACCAAGCAATGGGAGCGTGACCGATTTTGAGAACAATAGACACAACAAACTGGGGCAAAGACTTGCACACATTGATGGGGTGAGGAGGCAGTAGATGAGAATTTTCGGGTTAGGACAGGATTCCACTCGGACAAAGGTCAAGGAACAGACGATTGTTTGCACGTTAATTGTACAGTGCAAACACAGAACATGATCATCCTGGTTCATGACACTCAATGTCACTGTGCTTTACCTCATTCTTGATGTTGCAATCCGCCCCTGCAGCGAGCAGCGCTTGACACACATCGAGTTTACCTATACTGGCGGCATCGTGCAACGGAGTGTCGCCACGCTGGATGCACACACAAGAAACAACAGTACAGGAAAAAGTTCTTAATGAGTTAGATTGTGGATCACAGTCACAGTTGTAGATCAAAGCAAAACAATTCAGCTGGGAAAAGTGCAAAGATTTGATTGAAGACGAGCTCGGGTTTGTGTGACTCCTCGTCACAGATCTACTCACACGATTAGTACTGTACATGTATTATGAACTGTTAAAAAAAAAACAAAAAACAAAATTGGCCTTGGCTCCAATTTGGTGCGGGAGGGCCCGGGAATCATTAATTTTTTTGGTCTCGCCTGACACCCTATTATACTGTCCTTGACCGCATTCTTGATGTTACAGCCCGCCCCTGCAGCGAGCAGCGCTGGAACACATCGATTTTTTTCTGCCCAGGCCGCATGGTGCAACGGAGTGTTGCCATGCTGGAAGCAGTTTATTTTACAGAGTAAAGCAGAACAGGATCAGCATGGTTCATGGCACTCTAAATCCGGTTCTTTACCGTATTCTTGATGTTACAGTCCACCCCTGCAGTGAGCAGTGCTTGAAACACCTCGATTCCACCCCAGACGGCTTTGTGCAACGGAGTTTCGCCATCCTGGAAGCACAGGCAAGAAACAACAGTCCAGGAAAAGGCTCTTGATAAGTCTTGTCGTAGATCACAATCACAATTGTAAATCAAAGCAAAACAATGCAGAGTGTAATTCAACAGTTTATTCATATGGTACTACTTGTCTGGTACTGCCGTGGACAAGGAAATCCGGTCGCACGTCTAGCGGACCCTAGGCGCTGTCCATGCAGCCTTGATTCGGTACTCGTATGCGTAGTCTACGGTACAACAGATGCAGTGCACTGGTTGCATCGGATCAACATGTGCACTGCATGCAACGCTCTGTACTCACTGAAAGCGCCGTTCCCGGTCGTTCCACTGGATTTCCATGTCCAAGACAGTATTTTCATTGCATGATTGCCATTAGTGTACAAGCATACATGTATGACATATTTTCTTATCAGTGTGTTGTGATACAACTTGGATCAACGCCCAGGATGTGGTAGGAATGCGGCTAGACGTGCACATATGCAAGTGCAGTGATGTAATCGGAACTTGTCCAGGGTGACAGCTTTGCACTTTATTAGTTCGGATTTCAACACTCACAACCGTACTTGCTCACTGTTTGGGTTTGAGTGCATACTTTCAGAGCTTGGTGAAGGTAAGTTACGTAATAAAGCCAGAGAGCCGCGCTGTCGCGAACCATGGACATACCCTTTACATAAACCACTCGAAGCAGACCATATTTTCCTTAGTGCCCAATTTTCTTGTGAATCAAGACTGAACTGAATATTTACAAGGGGAGAGCGATAATATAGGTGAGTCGGAGTGTATGCCTGTAGCAGTAGTGTGCCGTGAAAGTGTCTTGCGTACAGCGTCAGCAGAAATATACAAGCGATAAATATACAAACGCATCGAAATAAGCTCCCAAGGAGTAGCGAAGAATCAAAGAGAAGCAAGAAGAGCACCAAGTTGTGGAACTAAAACAGCTCCACGTGCATGTAGCTGAAAAGGTGACACATAAAGATACGCACGGTGCAACGAGTCCAACTGTGAGCATGAAAATGGATAGTGAAGGCCATCAAAGATGCCGATAGTCGTACACACAGTCCGTGTTGGATGTCGGTGCGTGTGCAAGCCAAGGTGCATGGGTTCAAACTGAATCAAAGGGTGCCCGGAACGGAAACATTAGAAATGCAACGAAGTGCAAGGTGAGAAAAAGGGTGCCCAGAATTGAACCTTAGATATACAAACGAGTGCAAGATGAGAAAAAGGGTGTCACAAAGGGATGCGAGTGATTGAACGTACAGATCATGCACTGAACAAGGATACATGTATACGTAGACCTACGTAGCTGTGAATTCTTGGATATACATGCATTGTGCTCGTGACTACGAATAAATCCGATCGCATTCGCGACACGCGCACTGACCCATAACCACAGTTGCATACTCTTGTTTATGCACTCTTGCTACTATCCACGAGGAGGGAGTCTGTGCTGCACTAGCCTGCAGCAATGTAAGATACAATATACATGTAGCTCGGAATACCTTTCTGTTTCCAGCTCATGCTCCAGAAGTTCTCCTGTATGCTCCTCCTGAAGTCGTTCCGAGTTTTTGTACTTCGACATACTAGCCCCTCATACGTGTAATAGATGGAACATAATTGTACGCGTGGAGACGCTTTCCACCGCACATCAGAAACCGAAACGACAACTTGCTCGTCTTCTCAAGAACTCTCAACAACGAAGACACTAGAGAGGTTCCGGGGTACGATTTTCCGTGCCAAAATCCGTATGGGCGCTACGGATTTTTTCCAGGCCTGCTCCATACGATTTTTCGGCACGAGAATCCGTGTAGACTGGCTTTCATACGAACCATGCTTCGTATGGAGATTTTGCGTCATCGGGTGCAGAAAGATTTTTCGCGTACAAATTTGGTACGAGAAACATCGATTTTTCGCGGGAAGTTTTGATTTCGGTACAAATTTTAAAAATAAAAAGGCATAGCGCGGGAATGTGACGTGTTTGCGATCGTAACCTAGTGACGGCAAACACATAAGTTCCGTACCCCGGAACTTTTCACTGCTCGAAAACGACGTATAAAAAATCCGTAGAGCCTCCACGGATTTTGGCACGAAAAATCGTACTCCGGAACCTCCCTACTGGCGCACGCAAAGCTACGTGGCACACAGCGCTCCAAAGAAGAAATGCGTAGATCACGTGCATGCATATGAGAAAAACAATGATGTCACGCTGCCATGACGATACACAAGCTGTACTGGCACGGAGTGGACAAAAATAATGGAAAATCAAGAAAAGTCAGAAAATAATACAAACAGTGAAATTCGAAAGTAGAAGTCAAAGGAAGTTCAAAGAACAAGGAAAACGAAGATCTGTGCTGATAGGAACTCAAAGCAATTTCAACCATGTCCTGTCAGAGAGTGTTAGCACCCACAGGGTGAAGGCAAGCCTTGTCAGAGCAGAACCTACACTAGGACGGACTAGAGCTGCAGAACGGACTTTCTGAAGGAATGCAAAGATAAGTAACAATTCAAATTCGAGATAATCAACTTAGAAACAACACCAGCTGTTTTGTAACCTGTAAACTGCTTGTAACAATCAGTGATGTACTAGTACCTAACTCCTAGTAAACGCTTTGACTGTGCTCTCGGAAGAACGAAGGATTAACAAAATATAAAATAAACACAGTAGATAAATAATAGTGACACTCGTGAATTCTACAATATCTGAAGTCTTCTGCACAGTACATGAAGAACACACAGATCGCACAGGGAATACACAGAGAACAGAGCGCGCACAGATCGCACAGAGAACGCACAGAAAACACACAGAACGCACACCACCGCATACTGTCTTCAGAACAATAATAATTATTGTTCTGTCGGGACCTGCTGAGGTGAAAGATTCTGGCATGATGGCGTCACTCAACACTATACCAAGCAATGGGAGCGTGACCGATTTTGAGAACAATAGACACAACAAACTGGGGCAAAGACCTGCACACATTGATGGGGTGAGGAGGCAGTAGATGAGAATTTTCGGGTTAGGACAGGATTCCACTCGGATAAAGGTCAAGGAACAGACGATTGTTTGCACGTTAATTGTACAGTGCAAACACAGAACATGATCATCCTGGTTCATGACACTCAATGTCACTGTGCTTTACCTCATTCTTGATGTTGCAATCCGCCCCTCCAGCGAGCAGCGCTTGACACACATGGAGTTTACCTATACTGGCGGCATCGTGCAACGGAGTGTCGCCACGCTGGATGCACACGCAAGAAACAACAGTAGAGGAAAAAGTTCTTAATGAGTTAGATTGTGGATCACAGTCACAGTTGTAGATCAAAGCAAAACAATTCAGCTGGGAAAAGTGCAAAGATTTGATTGAAGACGAGCTCGGGTTTGTGTGACTCCTCATCACAGATCTACTCACACGATTAGTACTGTACATGTATTATGAACTGTTCAAAAAAAAAAAAAAAAAAATTGGCCTTGGCTCCAATTTGGTGCGGGAGGGCCCGGGAATCATTAATTTTTTTGGTCTCGCCTGACACCCTATTATATTGTCCTTGACCGCATTCTTGATGTTACAGCCCGCCCCTGCAGCGAGCAGCGCTGGCACACATCGATTTTTTTCTGCCCAGGCCGCATGGTGCAACGGAGTGTTGCCATGCTGGAAGCAGTTTATTTTACAGAGTAAAGCAGAACAGGATCAGCATGGTTCATAGGACTCTAAATCCGGTTCTTTACCGTATTCTTGATGTTACAGTCCGCTACTGCAGCGAGCAGTGCTTGAAACACCTCGATTCCACCCCAGACGGCTTTGTGCAACGGAGTTTCGCCATCCTGTTACAGCCCGCCCCTGCAGCGAGCAGCGCTGGCACACATCGATTTTTTCTGCCCAGGCCGCATGGTGCAATGGAGTGTTGCCATGCTGGAAGCAGTTAATTTTACAGAGTAAAGCAGAACAGGATCAGCATGGTTCATGGCACTCTAAATCCGGTTCTTTACCGTATTCTTGATGTTACAGTCCACCCCTGCAGTGAGCAGTGCTTGAAACACCTCGAGTCTACCCCTGACGGCTTTGTGCAACGGAGTGTCGCCATCCTGGAAGCACATGCAAGAAACAACAGTACAGGAAAAGCTCTTGATAAGTCTTGTCGTGGATCACAATCACAATTGTAAATCAAAGCAAAACAATGCAGAGTGGAATACAACAGTTTGTTCATATGGTACTACTTGTCTGGTACTGCCGTGGACAAGGAAATCCGGTCGCACGTCTAGCGGCCCCTGGGCGCTGCCCATGCAGCCTTGATTCGGTATGCGTAGTCTACGGTACACACATGCAGTGCGCTGGTCATATCGGATCAACATGTGCACTGCATGCAACGTTCTGTACACACTGAGGGCGCCGGTCCCGGTCATTCTCCTGGATTTCCATGTCCAAGACAAGACAGTATTTTCATTGCATGATTGCCATTAGTGTACAGACATACATGTATGTCATATTTTCTGATCATTGTGTCGCTTTACAAATTGGATCAATGCCCAGGATATGGAACGAATGCGATCAGACATACACATATGCAAGTGCGGAGTTGTAATAGATGACTTTCACAAAGATCCGAGCCGCGAGTGAGACGGGGCAAGTGCACCCTGTGCACCCAGGCTACACTGTGGGCACCCTACACCGTCTGTAGACTAGTGTAGTGTACTTTTTTTGTCAGCATCAGGGAGTCGTATAGACCATACGACTCCCTGGTCAGCATGAATGAACGGTGCACGGCATGTACATGTACATGATCAGTACCGTCACTGTCTTCAGCAGCTCATGAGTCATGCATGTGCACTTGTAGGGTTAGTGGAAGCAGATATTGTACTACTCCCTGAGTGGAAGTACATGACTGTATTATTATGTGAAGAGAAGCCAGGCGTCCAAACCAACCCAAAATACTCTTGCCTTATTCTTCGGTGAAATAGTTATAAAAAATTGTCTTACTAAACAACAGTGAGCATAGAAGCAACCTCGATGCACCCAATAATATGGCATCCGGGAACAGCAAGTGTTGCACGAGGATCCCAAGAACATGTCAAGTTCCATGCTACCGGCCGCCATCAAAAGAACGAAGGATAACTGTGCTAGCCTAGTTCATATTCAATGTAACGCTAACGGTACGGGATATAGGAGCCTGTTAGGAAGGCGTGGGTGAGCTGTAAAATCTTGTACGGTTCGCACAGCACAACATACATGCAGCAGTTAATAGACACCCTTAGCAAACAACGGTAACGCTATTTTTTACGGTACTCGTACCTTGATCACCCAAATAGCGTTGAAGCTGCAGCGTATAAACGTTATGGGGGCTGATTTATCGTTGTGACCAACGGTACGTGTTTTAGCCAAATATTGCATAGTCCGTACGCATTTCACCTTGTATCGCGTATATGGTGAACAAAATGGTTGTACCGCACGAAATCGAAGCTATTCTCGTGGCAACAGCGTACTAAAAATAGCGTGCATCTTGCTAAAGGTCGAACCCAAATCACGGTATTTTCCCCCTTACGATAATACCGTTACAACATAACGTTGTTTGCTAAGGGTGTCTATTAATAATAATAATCTTTATTTCAGGATTACCCAAAGGCTAACGCCTATCTGGAAGATCTCCTATTATTTTGATTGCGACGGTTAACGTTGATGGACGAGAGTCATAAAGCACAGTCCATGGGGGTTGGCGTTTCTGGGCTTCCTTTCCGAAAGGAAAGTTTTATTTCTTCTCAAAAAAAAGCAGAATCATGCTGATTATACCAGTCTGTTATGAAGACAAGGAAGCAGCCATGGACATTGTGCCATACTAAAGGAACGACAGGTAAAAGATAAAGCACTTCATCTGAAAACTCAAGGACTATCCATAAATACAGCAAATGATAATCCTAGCCTGGTAATGCCCAACTCCGTCATGTGAGCCATTCGGTGAGTTATCATGGGAAGCATAATGTTCGAAATGCTGAAATTTGAACAGTTGCAGTTGTGTTCGTCGCCACACAATGCCATCGCCAGTTCACATTTGAAATGTAGCCATTTTTACGCTTGTGTCCCTGTACACGGCATGGAAGGCTGAGCAGATTCAACTCTTCCATCGCTTCCTGATCTGTACAGTAGTGCGGTTGCGTTCCCGTTCCTGACACATCGGTCTCCGCTAACCAGCATCATGAGCACAATGGTTCCCGCCGCTCTTTCCGTATCGTCCCCGCGCGCCCCATCAAAATGTGAATTACTGTAGGCAACGGAGCCAGTGTATGATGAAGGCGAATGCACTGTTTGATGATGCTCCAACAAATCCTTTCTAAGACTGAGACCCAGCCGGAGCCGCATCGTCGTCATTACCAGCTAATCATGGGGAGGTATAATGTGACTTTCCACCACTCCCTGATTCAATCATAGTTTGCGAGCCTGCGCCAAACTGCTTTCTCACTAGAGCCAGGCATTGGATACATAATGGCTTCAGTAAGGTTTACAATGCTATGTCTCTGGCCTAAGTCCAAGTCTAGATACAGCTGCTCAGAGTCGGGGCTGATGAAGTGCTCATATCGGAACAAGTGAGACTTCAACAGTAGCTAGTACTGTACACATCAGGCCTGAGGACTTCGCAGCGTTTCTCCAGCACACTTGTTCTCTCCTTCAACTCAGATACTACTTGAAGTACTACTAAAGGCCATCTGGCTCTCACACTCAGTCCTGCCACCCCTCATTTTCGTGGTTTGGGCTTCCACTCTTGACTCGGCAGGTTCCTGGCCTCTCCGCAGTCTGTCCTCAGGAGACTGGGGTCGCTCTGGAGCTAGTGCAGCCGAATCGAAGGGAGTCGAGTTCTTTCTCAGACGTCCACAAACTTTCGTTGTGCTTGACTTCACTTCCACCGCGGGAAAGTAGTCACACTTCAGGACCACGACGTGCTTGTTGCAGCCTACACCAATGATACTAAAATAATATTCCCTCATTTTTTCTGCCTCCCGGCCGGCCGGCTCGAAAAGGAACGTATGGAATGGGAGCCTCAGTTCCATCTCTCGTCTGCTAGTGCATTCAGGAGCGTAGCAGCGCTTCGGCATGACGATACAAGCCAAATCAAAACAACTCTACTCTCTAGCCAAAAAAACTAGCTCAGTGTTCGTCAGGCAAAAAGCGAAACTTCGAAAGTCACGAACTCAAAAGGTAGGGAAGTCAGAGTCAGAAGGTCCACTTGCCCCGTCTCGAACCCAGACAATCTTTGTGCAAGTCATCTATTGGAACATGTCCAGGGTGTCAGTTTTGCACTTTGGTACCGATTTTCAGTGATCACAACTGTACTTGGTGACAGCCTTAATCTGATCCCTCCAGGATGATTCAGGAGAAATTTTGGGATTTGTGTTTTGCCGTTTTCAAAAACCAAATTGTAACTCTTCATCCCGGGTCTGTAATTTTTATCGCTTTCGTAATCCAGGTTCAGTGAAACCCAGCCAAATTCACACGGCCGCGGATTCATAGTATATTCCTGGTACGGTACTACTTATGATCTTCAGAAAAGTTGATGCGGGCCAAAGGAAGCGGATTTCCCTACACAGTCTCGGAATTTAAAGGCACTCACAATGTCTGGGACCTGTTGACATAGATTGGCGCAAGAAACGACGGGAGTAACAAAGTGCACAGACATTTTAGCTTCCCATGCCTCTGTGCTTTGCTCGTGCACCCAAACCCAATGTGTGGGTTCATGCAATCCTGTAGGCAGGGCTGCAATGCACGAGGTCCTGTATGCACAAGCTGCTATCCAAGAGGACAGGGCCTGTGCTGTACTAGCCCGCAGGACTGCATGATAGCTCGGAACGCTTTTCCGTTTCCAGCTCATGTGCCGGAAGTTCTCCTGTCTACTCCTTCTCAAGTTCCTGTGAGTTCTTGTACTTTGACATGCTAGCAGTTCATACGTGTAATGGATGGAACATAAATATTGTTCCATCTGCACCTGTTCAGGTGAAAGTTTCTGGCGTGACGGCGTCTCTGATGAAAAACCCCAATCTTGTATGCAATGGCAATGTCGCCTATTTTACGAGAAATAGACACAACACCCTGGGGTAAAGATCTGCGCACATCACAGTGGTGAGGAGCTGCATTCGATAACAAATTGTCCCGTCATGACAGGATTCCAATTGGGTAAAGGTCAGGGGAATACATGATTTATTCTTTCTAAAATGTACAGTGTAAGCACAGAACATGATCATCCTAGTTCATGACACTTTACTGTTCCTTACCCCATCGGCGTGGTTCAGGGGGACCCGATGTCTCCGGCCATGTTCATTGTCTACGCAGAAGGTGCGATGAGGCAGGTGAGAGCAGCCTGCACCTCCCCTTCATGCCTGCCTACTCATTTCTCACAGTATGCAGATGACACCACAATACATGACACTGATCGTGATGCTGTGGTGGCCGCTGCAGCGAAATGTGAGCCAATTTTCGCCCAGGATGACCTGAGATTAAATCTAACAAAAACTCAATTTGTAACTCCTTCCAAGGATGATGACGCATGGAGAAAGACGAAACTACTTGGAAGTCTCTTGGGATCTGGAAGTGACATCGAGAACCGTATCAATGCCGCTAACCGAGCGTTTGGCACTATAGCCTGGAAGAGACACACTTTATTATCTAGAATGCTTATGTTCACCACTCTTATCCTTCCGGTTCTACTATACAACTGTGGCCTGTGGACCTTGACAGCAGCACTCGGCAACAGGCTCGACACGTGGCATCGCCGCAAACTACGATCCATTCTCGGCGTAGTGTATCCCCAAAAAATATCGAATAAAAACTTATACAAGCTGTCCAACCAATTGCCTATCACCAGAACATGCAGGGAACGGCGCTTGTTATGGTTCGGCCATGTAATCAGAGAAGGCAGTGACTCGACATCCTACAAAGCTCTAAGACTTTCAATCGACACCAAAGACATCAAGAAGCCCAGGGGACGCCCCGTCACCAGATGGATCGACAACATCAAGAATGACTTAAAGATAATAAACGTTTCCATTGCCGAAGCGGAAGCTATTTCCCAAGACAGGGAAGCTTGGCTCGGCATTGTGAATCAATGTACTAACTTATCATGCTAAAAAAATATCTGCGCTTACTTGAATATCCTTTTGGTAAATAACATTCTGTACTTAGTATTATATTCCTCATGCCTAGGCTCATGGTGGAATCGAGGTAGTTTTTCCCTGCAATAACAGAATGAAGAAGGTGTGTATGTCATGTGTTTCTCGTTTTCTCTAACTCTTTTGCCGACAGATGCGTTAGCCCCATGGGTGATCTCACCCATGGAGTACATGCGAGCTGTTATTATTATTATTATTATTACCCCATCTCTGATGTTGCAGTCTGCCCCTGCTGCGAGAAGCGCTTCACACACCTCGATTCTACCTCTGAAGACGGCCTCGTGCAACGGAGTGTTGCCAAGCTGGAAGCACAGGCAAGAAACAACAGTACACGAAAACGTTCTCAATGAGTCTGATTTTAGATCACAAACACAATTGTAAATCAAAGCAAAACAATGCAGAGTGGAATTCAACAATTGGTTGATATGGTACTACTTGTCTGGTACTGCCGTGGACAAGGAAATCCGGTCGCACGTCTAGCGGCCCCTGGGCGCTGCCCATGCAGCCTTGATTCGGTACGCGTAGTCTAAGGTGCACACATGCAGTGAGCTGGTCGCATCGGATCCACATGTGCACTGCATGCAACGTTCTGTACACACTGAGAGCACCGTTCCCAGTCATTCAATTGGATTTCCATGTCGACGACAGTGTTTACATTGCATGATTGCCATTGGTGTCAAAATCCGCTCCAACGTGCCCTGGTAGTGCTATTCTACACTCAGAGACAAGTTCTTTCGATTTGCAGTCGCACTCAACGCACAGCAATGATTCAAACTCCAGCAGGTTTTTTTAGCGCTCATGTTAGTGTATATTACGCGTGGGCTGTGCACTGGGGAAACGTGATCAAACACCTCGTCAACTTTACGGCTAGCATGAAGTGGGTCACAGTCACACGCTTGAAATTTGACATTCACCCGTTTCCCGAATTTCGAGCTTCGTCGCTTGTGTACTTTACTCCCGCTATTTCGAATTATACAGCTTTGGAAAGCTGCATTCAATAGCTTTCCAATGGGCCGTCATTTGTTGAATTTGAAGTAGGGAGGCCGAAGTTATAGCTATTTGTACCGTGATCTATGCTCGTTTCTTTATGCTCCGTGTGAGTGACGAGTTACCTCATCCTCGGCAATTCTGGGTGATTATTTCAGGACGAGTTATCTTGTCCTTGGCACTGAATGGGTAAACTAACCAACTTCCATTCGTGGATACAAATTGTGTTCAGGTCACGATATGACTCATTTCTGCTGCAATTGCATGAATTTTGAGTATTTCACACAATTTGAGCAAGATTGCATCCCCTACTGTGCTGCGTTCCTCTTTTTGGAGAATGTACCAATTCTGTTACCCCGTGGTTAATAGTCTTGGCAACCATTTCCAAAATATCAAAGGACCACAGTGGCCAGAAACCTGGAGTTTCAGGTCTTGCCATTGGCCCTACTTTCGGTATTTACATGCAAAGTACCATAAGAAAAGCCTAGTAGCTCTAAACAATGCGCAAGCAAGACGACCTGAGCCGAAAGAGTGTGTAAGCCAAGCTCAGTAGATGTAACTTAGTGCACACACAGAAGCAGGATATGTGTACGGAAGTGTACATAACAAAGCTGGCGGGAAACTTCCAAGCACCGATGCAATAACTGGGAGGATCCTCGCGCCAATGTGTTCGATGGAAACCGGCGGAGAATAGCTTGGAAAAGTGCCGGGGTCACGAGACCCTGCAATATTGAGAAACGTCCCATTCCGCCAAACCTTCTCTTGAGTATGAACGCCCCGCCCCCTAACAGTGGAGTAACGTGATACTTATAGTTTGCTGAGTGACAGAGAAAGTTCACTAGGCATTATATTATTATTAGATATGCTCACAGCAGAAAAGTACTGCTAGTAACTTTATTGTTGTGGTCCTGTACCAACTTAAATCCTCTAACAGGAACGGCGGAACTGACCCAGTTGGTCAGACTACAGACGGACCAACTGTTTGGGCACCAATGCATGGCTGCTGCCGAGGATGTCATGTGTTTCCACTATTTCATACAGAAAGTAGCAAAGAGTACGGTATGGCTGGATCGACCAAAAACTGACTCTGCTCATCCTGGCTACTCTTCAGGGAAATATTTGGTCGTGATTAGTTAGCATCAGAGCTAATGATCCATACATGATATCTTCCTGTGCTACTTTACCCCGTCACGGCTACGGCAGTTGACGTCGGCTCCACTTTCCAGAAGTGCAGCGATCTTCTTCAGATCATCTTGTCGTGATGCAGATAGAAGATCGTCAGACATCTACAAGGGAAAAGGAAATCATCGAAAGTACAGAACAATTTTCAAACCACTTGCATGATCCATATTGTAGTAACGTTATCACATGACTTCTTCAGCTCTTTGCATCCTCTCGTTTCAATTAAAGATGCACTACCAGTTCCTACCAGTTCCTACAATGCCCATTCTGAACTATACATACTCAAGATTATCTTGATCATCATGCTGTTGGTCATAATGGATGCGTTATGTTCTTATAATACATAATTCTGAATTAAGAAAGGGTTTGCTCCCCACACTGGAGCTCACTCTTTTCCATCGCTTTGACTTGACACTGGACCGACTCACGACTGACATCCAGAGCACATGAGAAGTCCATCGAACCTTCCAGCTCTGTGTGAAGGCAATATCACTCCTTCTTCTACCTGATAATCGTTCTCTCAGACTTACTTTTACGTTGTGTTCGAACTGACTGTGAATTTTTTCCTTTATTTTCTTTCTTGCCATGTGCCAGCTGCTGAACTGGTCAGTTGTAGTAGTCCCTTTGTTTGGAGTGTGCAGTAAAGAGAGAACAGTCACTCACCTTCGTGCTTTGCTCTGGTGGTAGCCAAGTCTTCCTGGGCATCTTTGCAGGGCTCATCATTACCTCTTCCTCCTCATCCTGCAGCTCAAATGAACTTTGCATCAGCTCTGTTGTCAGCCTCTCAATCTGTATGAAGCCAATCAATTGTTATGTGCAACAAAGAGGATTTGCTAGGGTAGAGGATGTCCGAGAAATACATCTTTTATGTTATTATGGGTGATCTTTATACACATCCTAGGGGTATAGCCTTGGGCGTTACCAGGCGTACAGATTTTGCAAATCCTTGTTTTCAAGTTGAAAATGATGAAAATGATGCTAAGTACTTCTGTTTTCCATTTTGACCTCTACGACCTCTACATAGTCTAAGGGCACCTTTTGTAGTTGGCGTGTACGAGGTGTTCACCACTGTGTGCGCCACTGCGTGCAGGTCATGCCACTGACGTTTACATGTTGTGCAAACATTCAAATAGTCTTCTTCCTGAACTCTTTTTCTTTGCCATATGAACAACTTTTGCTCGGTATGTGGCGGTTGGGGAGCGGCAGAAGAGCTCTATCGTTGCGAGTGAATGTGGAATAAAACGCTTGACGACAATTCACCAACTGAGAAAACTCCTTACTGTACTGAGCTGAAACCAACCGGTGTTATAGCCTAAGCATATGATTGATTTTTCCAGGCCAGTGTCCCGCCATAGATTTTGGCCTTGTCAGTAGAAGGTAACAGGAGGGTTTGAGAACAAAGTTGACCCGGAAGTGACCTTGTCATGTTTTTGACAGGCTGTGGTTTGACCCTGTCAATTTGTGGTTTGACCTTGATTACTTTACCGTGACATCCGTCAAATAGTGTTACCAGATCACGTGTAACACCCGTGTACTGCGATCTACCTGTGTTACCATAACTTTTGAAGAAAGTGTGACTTTAACTTTGAAAAGTGTGACTGTAACTTTGAAAAGTGTTTGTTGTGCTGTTACAATAATTTTTTGAAACTGTATCCACGAAATGTCTTTTATTTTTATTACAAACTCTGTTTTATCATTATTTTGTTAAACTGTGTGCGTGCAACAAACTCTGTTTTCCCTCTGGAGTGTCACGGCGAGCACCACCACCAAACCTGATACTCCACGAGCAAAGCAATGCATCACCGTTGTAAACATGCTCGACTCTGCATGAAGCAGCAGCAGGTTAGTGTAACAAACTCTGCTTTCTCTCTGGAGTATCACGGTGAGCACCACCACCACCACCACCACCACCACCAAACCTGATACTCCACGAGCAAAGCAATCCATCACCGTTGTAATCCTGCTCGACTCTGCATGAAGCAACAGGTTAGCCGGCAATGACAAATTGAAGAGAGGTACCACTGCGAAGAAGACGATCACTTGCGCGCTACTCGAAGAGAGGTACATGTACTCAGGATGTAGCCCTGTGAAGAAGACGATCACCTGCGATACATCTGAAATGAATGAATGATGCGATGCATCAGCTAGCCGTCTAGCGTCGTGTTTGAGTAAAGGTGAAGTGATGTGCGCTCAAGTGCATGGATCTACGCTAACTATTCACGGTCTGCGAGTACTTGTCATGCACAAACTTGTCGGACAGGTAGAACAATGCCGAAGACAAGGTGTCAAGTCTGTCCGTGTAGTTACTTTTTAAAAGTGCTTGACTGTGTTGTACATGTACATGTAAGGGCTTAGAGGTTTTCGGTGGAAGCATACAGAATTGAAAGAGCGTTTGTACTAGTTTGAGAACAAATGTGCACGGAGGTATTGTCTCAAGCTGTTTGTGGACAATTGCCTCACCTCGTGATGGAAAAAATGCAAGCACATGCATACTGAGGCCACGAGCGCTCACCTCGTGATGAAGAAAATGCCTTCGCCTGCACCGCCTCCGAACGAGGAAAAGTGTTGGCACAACCATCAGGTTGTGAATGAAGGACAGTACGTGTGTACGACTTGTGGACTGGTGCTGGGTAACGTCTTAATGGCCGAAGTGAACGTCTTCGATCGTTGTGTACTCCCGAGATCGTACGCCGCTCGTGAACGTCTGAGTGCTGTGGACAAGCATCTGATTAGATTCATGGAGCGCACGGGAGTGCAGGTGCAGCTTCACGGTGTTCAAGAGCGGCTGCAGTTCATGAAGAAGGACAGCGGCTATAAAAGTCTGAACTATGCCATCGCTCTGAGCTGCATCTGTCATGAGGATAAAGCAGCCTGTTAGGCACTGAGATCTTATCTACCGAAAAGCAACGTGTCATGGGCACGGTCCAGTCGACTCGTCAGCTGCATGCCTAGACAGTTTTCTGACATTTGGCTGCGGCATCTCTTGATCAATGCCAAGCCCTTGACACGCCGTCAGTCCTCCAGATTGAATGAAAACCTTGACAAGTTCTGTAGGGAGCAGAACGACGCAATGAGACTCCTGATCGAGTCTTACGGCTGTGGCAGTGACAGGCATGTTGACTCGCTACCGGACGATCTGCGATGTGCTCTTTATAGATTTTCCTGCGCCGCGATCAAGCCCCGTGCGATCGCGAAAAGGAGGAAGAAGACTGGTGCTGTTCCATCCACGTCTCCTTGATCACATCGAGATATTATAAGATCACGATGATCGTTTGTCCGGTACTCATTTGTTCTTTTACAGTTTAGTGAACAACCTATACTTTCTGTCCGCCTCATCATGAACGCTATGGACATCGGTATTTGGATGCTGCTGAGCAAGCACGATGAGAGTAGTTGCGTGCTCCGATCGCTGCTGCATTGTGTGGCTCTGAAAGGCCTGTGCCCCGTCGAAGACCTCCAGACGGTGGCAAAAGATGAGCGTCTGGAGGTGATCTGGAGACTGGCTCGTAACCTTGCCAGGGATCGCAGGGTCGACTTGATTGCCGCGACGCAAGTGCTGCTTTCTGAGCAAGTGTTGGCGGATGGAGGCGCACTGCTGCCGCACTACCTGGAACGGATATTCGCAATCATGGGCGAGCGTTGGATTGACGATGCAAGGAGTCGTTCAAACATCTGAGATCTCTCTCTGCGATTCACGCAAGGCGGATGAATGGAGGTAACAGCGCCAGCAGCAGCAGCAGCAGCAGTACCAGCAGCACCGTCACCAGCACCAGCAGCACCGTCACCAGCAGCAGCGTCACCACCGACACAAGCGTCAACAGCGGTGTCAGTGTCTGCGCTGACACTGATGATGTCTCCCATCCCGGCAGAGATGATGACGATGCTGATGATGATACTCCTGTCAACCCCGACGACTTGTTTGAGCTTCTCCGTCGAAAGGGTGTATACCCATACGAGTACATGGATTGTACGATGAGGTTTGGAGATACGTCGCTCCCTCCAAAGGAGAAGTTCTTCTCTGCGCTATCGGAGAAGCATATCAGCGACAGCGACTACGAGCATGCTCAGCGGGTATGGACAGCCTTCCAGTGTCGGACAATGGGAGACTACCACGACCTGTATCTCGACACGGACGTGAATCTCCTCGCGGATGTATTCGAGACCTTCCGAGCCACGGCGATAGGTACCTACGGTCTCGACCCAGCGCATTATTACACCCTGCCGGGTTTCGCCTGGGATGCACTGCTGAAGTTCACTGGTATCTCTCTATCTCTTCTGAGCTGCGTGGACATGCACCTGTTTATCGAGCGTGGTCTGCGAGGCGGGGTATCGATGGCCTCTCATCGTCATGCCAAGGCCAATAACAGGTATGCTCGCATGCAAGCGTATAAGTAACTCTGTTCGGTTTTATATTGCAATTATACATGTATAAATACTTGTGGTGTAAATACTTGCGAGCTCATAAATAACACACACCTACTAATTACTATGTGTGTGTGTGTGTGTGCGTGCGCGTGTGTGCGTGTGCGCGCGCGTGTGTGTGTGTGTGTGTGTGTGTGCGCACGCGTATGCTCTACTGTATTAGATACATGGCTACACACGATGCAGGCAAGCGGACGATCTGTACGAGGATATGATGAGCACCATCGACGAGTATGACACGAGCAACTACCCGTCTGAAAACCCGCTTTACAGCCAGCAGAACAAGAAAACCGTCGGGAAGTTTAAGGACGAACTGGGCGGACGTCTGATGACTGGGTTTGTGGCGCTTCGCTCTAAGATGTATGCCTATGACGGTGAGGAGAGCGGACAGCGTGCAAAAGGCGTTAAAAGAAGTGTGACAAAGCAGTTCACCCTGAGCGACTATGAGCGATGTCTGACACACCGGACCGTCTCTGCTCATCCGATGACAGCTATTCGGAGTCATGCTCACCGCGTCTACACCGAGACTATGACCAAAACGTCTCTATCTCCTTTTGATAGCAAGCGCTACATCCTGCCTGATGGTGTATCTACGCTGGCATACGGTCACCATCGCATTGCACAGTCAGACGTGCAGTAGCAGCAGCAGCAGCATCAGTTTCTCCACAGTGAAACGTTATACATATCATTCATTATTGGTATGATGATAAACAATTACGGAATATGCATTACATTGTTCAGTTGATGGGATTTATCGGAGTGAAGTGATGATGATCGTACTAGTACTAGTATGCATGTTGACATGTCTGTACAAGTGATTTTTTATTCATGATGATGATGATGATGATGGTGAATATAAGACTCAGAGTTTTTCAAATTGATCCTTGGTGATCCATGAGTTGAATTTGTCCGGGTAGCCTTTCCACTTGACCAGAAACCGTCCGCGCTGCCTGCGCAGGACTTTGTCCACGCGAAACTGTGTTTGCACGGTCCTCTGCAACTGCTGTTCGTAGAAGCTCCCAAGAATGGGTTCATTCATGAGATCTCTTATGCCATAGGTGACGGGCTGGGTTGGCAGCACACGGTCGATAAGGAACACCTCCTCGGTCCAGTTTGGCGTGTAGCCCTTTTCGAAATGACGCTTGCTCACTGCTATTTTTACCTCATCATCTACGCTGTAGCGAGGGTCTGCACGTGGTCGATGCGTTTGGGGGTGATCCTGTACGAACGGTGCATTTCTTTTCAATGAAGCTTCCGTGGGTGTCATACGGATGCTGCGATGCTTGCTGTTGTTGTAGTCGTGCACCAGTCTGGGCAGTACATCTATGTACACGTTGGTCGATTTAGCGGTAAAGTGCTGCCACATG